TTAACAAAGTTGTCAATAGTAAGTGTTATTGTGTTCATAGCAGCAATAATTGATAAAAGTGGGCACAATAAAGCACATACCAGTTGGTAACTTGATAAACAGTGGTTGAGTCATATAATGGAATACTACTTGGCAATTAAAAGGACCAAAGTAACAGGATTGTTACAACAGTATTGGGCAGCTATTGAAAACTGTATGCTAAATCATGAAAAACAAACAAACAAGCAAAGTGACATATTGTCTGATTCCAGTCATATGATATGCTCAGAAGGGGCAAATCCATAAAGACAGAAAGAAGATGAATCATTATCTTAGGCTGGGGATTGGTTGACAAAGCAAATAGGCATAGAGTTTATTTGTGGAAGGATAAAAAATAGTCGTAAAATTGATTATGGTGATGGTTGCACAATTCTGCGGATATACTAAATACTATTTACTTGTATACTTCAAATGGATTTAACTACTGCACAATTCTGAGGCTATACTAAAAACGATTACACTTGGAGGGCTCAAAATGCTGATGAAATTGCAGTTTGAAGGCAACACTTTTCCAGAGCTCTTAACAATAGTGTTCTACTTCTATAAAGATCACAGTCTAGGACAGCGGTTCTCAATTGGTAAGTGGCGACCCCTTTGGGGGTCAAATGACCCTTTCACAGGGGTTGCCCAATTCATAACAGTAGCAAAATTACAGTTATGACTTAGCAATGAAAATAGTTTTATGGTTGGGGGCTCACCACAACACGAGGAACTGTATCAAAGGGTCGTGGCATGGGGGAGGTTGAGAACCACTGGTCTAGGACATTCTCCGTGGCAGTTCCTACTCTGTCATAAAAAAGTTTTATGAGACAAAATTGACCTGATAGCAGTGGGTTATGTCTCACAAAAACGTTAAATATGAAATTCGTTGAAGCAGTTGAAATTGCGCATGGTTTTGTTCTTTTAAAAATAACTTTATTAAAAACAATGAGACAATGTGTAGGTGAATCCTCTCATACTAAATGACACTTACCCCCACATCTCCCCCCCACCCACTGCTTTATAATGCAAATCACAGGAGAAGGTCTGTTCTTTGTTCCTGTGCAAGCAGAAAGGGAAGAATGTAGAAATGAAAACAGCATCAGAAAATCTGGTTATTACTTGTTCGGTTTTTGTTATTCAGAATATAGTTAAAGACAGTGTCCAAGGAACGTCCACCGTAACACTGAACACTGCCCAGCTCCCCCTAGAGCGTGGTCTGGGCCTTGGAGGAGGAAAGCACTAGCAGTGCGGAGATGGAGCAGATACGTAGGACCCCCCTGGCCGTGTGCCTGTGAAAGTTGGAAAACAAAAAAGGAAGACCGGAGACGAGTTGATGTATTTGAATTGTGGCTTTGGTGAAGAATATTGAAAGTACCATGGACTTCCAGAAGAAAGAAATAAATCTGTTTTAAAGGAAGTACAGCCAAAAAGATTCTTAGAAGTGAGGATGGCAACTTCATCTCACACTTTGGACATGTTATCAAGAGATACTCTCACTGCCATAGAGTTGATTATGGCTCATATGGGCCCGATAGGACAGGGTAGACCTGCCTCTGGGGATTTCTGAGACTGTACATCTTTCTGAGACCCCAAACCTCTTCTTTCTTCCCTGGAGTGGCTGGTGGGTTTGAACTGCTGATCTTGGATTCAAAAGCCCAATTGATAACCTGCTATGCCCCCAGTCTCCAGAAAAACACAGCATTTTTGGTCAAGGGGAGACTTAATGAATCACAGATGGGTTGGCAGCGACGAGTGCAGACAGTGATCCTTGTGAGGCTGGGGTCGGACTGGGCAGTGCCACGTTCTGTTCTGTGTTAGGGTCACTTGAGTCCCAGCTGACTCGAGGGCATCTAACAACAACAGCAATAACTGTATAGGAGTGGAATTCGGATTTCTATGGTCATGCTGTGTTTAACCTTTAGAGAAGCTGCCAGAGAGTCATGTTTTTGTTAAAATGTAACGAATGTAAGCAATCTATTAGACACATGGTTTACAAATATCTTCTCATTCTGTGAGTTGTCTTTTCCTCTTTTTGATGGTATCCCTGGCAGCAAAAAAGCTAATTAACCCGAGGATTAATTTATGCATTTTCTTATGTCATTTGTGCTTTTAAAATTATTGGAAAGAAACGGCCACGTAACAGAAGGTCAAGAAAACCCCTTTTGGTTGTTAAGTGCCTTGAAATTTACTTTACCCTCGAACCAACTCCATGTGACAGAGTAGAACTGGGACACGTGGCTTGCTGGGGGCTGTAAGCTTTATGGGAATGCACTGTCAGGTCTTCCTGGAGCAATGGGGTGGGCTTGAGTCAATAACTCTAAAAGAGAAGCTGAGTCCAAGGGCTCAAGTAGAAAAGGTTTTGGAAGCGATGATGGCAACATATGTATAGATATGCTTGAAACAATTGATGTATGGATTTTATAAGAGCTGTAAGAGTCTCTAATAAAATTATTTAATATTTTAAAAGAAGAAGATGACTTACTCTTATGTTTCCATCCTATGCTTAGGCCTATGATTCATTTTAAGTTGATACTTGAGCCTTAGTTTTGGAAATGTCTATGTTCTTTGAGTCTGCGAGTGACCCTGAGAAATCTTTTCAGCCTGCCTGCGACTTGGGTGTGCCTTGTTGCCAATGAGGATGACCTCAGCTGTGTTGCTCAATGAGCAGGATTAGTCCCTTATCAGGGTGCTGCTCCTCCCTGGTGCTTTCCTAAGCAGTGATCACTCACCCAAGAGAGGCCTTAGCACTTCAGAAGGAAAAAAAAGTAGAAGAAAAAAAAAGAGATGATCTTGGTTTCTGTCACTGAGGTTCCAACCTCCTTTTGCAGCTTCTGATGCCCTAGGAGCCAGTCTGCCCTTTTTCTTAAGAAACGATAGGAACTGGAAACACAGGGAATCCAGGGTGGATGATCCCTTCAGGACCAGTGGTGTGAGTGGCGATACTGGGAGGGTAGAGGGAGAGTGGGTTGGAAAGAGGGAACTGATTACAAGGAGCTATATGTGACCTCCTCCCTGGGGTACGGACAACAGAAAAGTGGGTGAAGGGAGACGTTGGACAGGGCAAGATATGACAAAATAATAATTTATAAATTATCAAGGGCTCATGAGGGAGGGGGGAGTGAGGAGAGAGGGGAAAAATGAGGAGCCGATTCCAGGGGCTTAAGTGGAGAGGAAATGTTTTGAGAATGATGAGGGCAATGAATGTACAAATGTGCTTTACACAATTGATGTATATATGGATTGTGATAAGAGTTGTATGAGCCCCTAATATAATTAAAAAAAAAAAAGGAATGATCTCTTGGTTAGAAACATAAAGCTTTCTCTGTAACCAAAGCATCCCAATATGTTTAACAAGAAAACATACCCATCCAGTCACAAATCTGTAAAACAAAAAAGCAACATTAAATACCACAGAGCGATTTCTGAAGAGGAGAAGAGGAGTTGGGAATGGGGCTAGGCAGTGAGGAAAGGAGTGAAACAAACCAAACACTGAGGCAACCAAAAGAAGAGCAGGTCTTTCGAGAAGAGAGAGCAGTGGTCGGAGACGAGGGAGCAATTCGTCTTTCTGTTCCTGAGCTGAAGCAAACAAAAAATTCATATTATTATAAATAGCAAACACATGAAATTTATCTAGCATCAATATGTGTTAGTAATTCTGCTAGTTACTGTGTTAGTCTAGGTACTTTAGAGAAACAAATCCACAGAAACTCATGGATAAGAGAGTGTTTTATATAAAGGTTAAGTGCACCTCAAGAAAACATCCCAACCCAGTGCTGTCCAAACCCACAAGTCCAACATTAACCCATATGTCCAACATCAATCCACAAAGTCCTCCTCCACCTCACAAAACAGATGCAATGATGCTGACTACAGGAGGAAAGCCGAGTCAGTGAATGTGTAAGCATCTCAGCGCTGGCAGGGATCTCCACAGGGCTGCTCCAGCACCCAGGGCTGCATCAGGGTAGGTCCATGTGGCTTCTTCTCAGGGATGTCTTACAGGAAGTGAACTTTGTCAGCTGAAGCAGGGACCTGGCTAAGGCAGGTGCACCTTGGTCTGACCATCACAAAGCAAGAGACCTGAGACCTTGAAAGGTGAAGTTCACCGAGCCATTTATCTCGCTGCCCTTCAATTAACCCCACATGTGTTTATTAGCTAGGTTGGCACAATAAACTAATTAACTCAATTACTTTCACCTAGATTCTCACTGAATACTCAAGAAAAATAAACCCATGAAAAATAGCTATTTTAACCCCCTGTCTTTCATAGAACATGCTGTAGCTTCTTATATTTTAATTTCAATTTTCAAACTTTTTTGAAGCCCTTTTGTGTAATTAACCAAATTTGACTGTCTTCAGTATACAGTAGAACCCTAATGTGTTCTAGAAAAAGCGTTGAGAAGCAATGCAGTCAAGTTCCGAATCAATTTTTCCGTAAGAAATAACTGAAAATGGATTAATCCATTCTTGACCACCAAGTTTTTACCCTAATCTTGCTTTTTTATGCAAAACATTACACAGAAACTTCAAAGTAAATAAGTTCAGTTAAATAATATAATTTAAATAAGAAACAGAACATTACAAAGATTTTAACAACTGTAGTATGGCCCATACCTTGAGGTGGATGAGGATCTGGATCTGTGACACGCGGGTGTGGAGAGGAGGTGTGGAGAGAGTCATTGTTTGGAAGGGGAATCCCCTTCCATCAAATCCACTGGTAGCTGCTTTTCAGGAGTTTCCCCCTTTTTCCCCTTCTTTGCCTTTTTTTACTAGGACCTGGCTGCCTTTCTCAATAAAAACAAAAACAAAGAAAAGTCTGTATAATTTGGTCTGCTCTTCTTTAACTGTTTTCTCAAAGGGTTTACTAAATTATCATCAACAATATCAATAGCACGGTTAACCAGTTCTTTATCATGATGATTCGTTTCAAAAACCTCTTTCTTAGGACCCACGGATTTTAAAATCTAAAAACAGTACAAAAATCCACAAAAAACCAAGAAAGTTATAGCAAAACGCTTGGAACACAGCTGCAAAAGGTTTAAACAACTCATACTGATAACACCAAGTAATACTGAGCGAAGGAAATACGAACCGCTTTTGTTTACAAATATCACGTGAGTCGGTCGCGTCAGATTCCCCTGCATTCTTCAAGCTCTGATGCAAAATTTTCTCAACATTTTGTGTTGAAATCCGATTGTGTCGGGTGCTGATGGGTGGAGTACTAGGGTTCACTGTATAAGAACAAGTGAACAAGGTAAGAGTATATCTCAGGCACTGTGGATATAAACCCACAAACGACTGACTGGAGAAATAAGGTAATGCCTTATTAATCCTTGTAATAACGCTGTGAAGGAGTCATAGTGGCACGAGGGTGCAGTCCTGGGCTGCTAACAGAAAGTTGTTGGACATCGTTGGGTTGAATCCACTAGCTGTTCTCTGCGAAGGAAACAGTGGTCACCAGTCCCCATAAGATCACAGCTGATGCCAGAGCTGCAGAGGACAGGCCTGGAGATACCGTTCTGGGCGAGTCGCTGGTCTGACCCAGCCACATGGGGGCAAACCAAGAGGGGAGCACACCAGACCAGTGAGGGGAGCAGAGTCGCCAAGTTCCTGAGGAATCCCGACTGCAGACGTCTGTCTCAGGGACAGCACTTGACACCCCATCTGAACTGGCTGGGGGTGACTCACCCAGGGGCCTCACTGAAAGTCTACACATGTAATGCTGAGGTGGGCGTGGGGCAGCATTAGACTGCTCCATCCCTGACTGCAGGAAGAGCAGTGGAGACTTTCAGGATGTGCGCCTTGTCTGTGTTAGGTCAGCGGGTCCTGGGATGCGGAAACCTGGAAGAAAAGGAGACTCGACTGATGGATTATTCCTTGTCCTTCTCGCTGTTTGACAGAGAGAGATTCATCTACTCTGTCAGGATCCCTGTTAGAATTGGGGACTATTTGTATAGTCTCTCTCTCTTGGTGTTTATGTATACCAGATAGGATAGGCAATCCCAGAAACAGCGATAGACTGAAGGTTTCGGAGGGCTGGAGGAGTGGGCATGGGAGGGGAGGAGGTGTGGTGAATAATGATTGGGACAGGATTCTAAAATTGATAGTGAGGAGTGTGTAGCTTTTCTGGTTGAGTTTCTTCGATCAAATGACTCAGAGTATCTAGATTCTTGTAATCGGTTCCCCCTTTCTATTCCACCCTCCCAGTATTGCCACTCACACCACTCGTCCTGAAGGGATCATCCATCCTGGATTCCCTGTGTTTCCAGTTCCTATCTGTACCAGTGTACAGCCTCTGGTCTAGCCAAATTTGTAAGGTAGAATTGTGATCATGATAGTGAGTGGGGAGGAAGCATTTAGAAACTAGAGGAAAGTTGTATGTTTAATCGTTGCTACACTGCCCTCCTCCTTGGGGGACGGACAACAGAAAAGTGGGTGAAGGGAGATGTCAGACATGCAAAATATGACAAAATAATAATTTATAAATTATCAAGGGTTCATGAGGGAGGGGAGAGCAGGGAGGGAGGGGAAAATGAGGAGCTGATGCTAGGGGCTTAAGTGGAGAGCAAATGTTTTGAGATAAGAGTAACAAATGTACAAATGTGCTTTACACAATTGATGTATGTATGGATTGTGATAAGAGTTGTATGAGCCCCCAATAAAATGATTAAAAAAGAGACAAAAATATTTACTCAGAGTAAACATGATAGTGGGGCAGAAGGAAAGAAAAAAGAAAGAGAGGAAAGAAGAAGAAAGGAAAATATTAAAAATATATAGGTGTATATAGATATAGATATAGATATGTGTGTATGTAAATATAGGGGTATTTGTATATATATGTAAATACAACAAAGAAGTAGATGGTCTTTGGGCCTCTACTTAAATCTTAACTAAGTACAAGAACGGTTTGTTCTAACAATGTGACATTGTATGATACTTGCTTACCGGACACGATTGCTGAAGACAAAATGGGTGTCTAAGCAAATCTGGTGAAGAAAGCTGATTAAGGCTGGTAGTTAAACAAGTGGCCATCTAGCAGGGAAGCAATAAAGCTCACATGGAATATGCACATCAGCCTGTGTGATCATGGCGTACTGATGGGAAAAAGTATCAGCAGTTCAAAAAGAAGCAACAGAATCAATGGGAAGGAGCGTGGGTGTAGTGGAGATCCAAAACCCACCTGTAAGATAATTGGACAGTTCTTCATAGAAGGGCCACATGGAAGGGGTGATAAATTCATCACTGATGAAACACATAACTATCCTCTAGTTCTTTAATATTTCCTCCTCCTTTATATTATTGTTTTTATTTCACATAATTAATCATGTTACTTGCATATGTTGATTTGTTAATTAAGATAGTTTGATAATGAAAGCCAAGATATATAACCCTTCAGTAATAGTAAAAAGAATAATGGCTTTTAGAGGATATGGGAAAGGAGGGGGTGGAGGAGTTGGGAATAGCGAGCTGATGGTGTAAAATACAACAAAATAATAAATTGGATGGTGTAAAATTTGACAAATAAATAAATAAATATGGTTTCCTGGGGGATAGTGTGGGGAAGGGAGAGGATAATGGGGAGCTGATATCAAGAAGTTCAAGAAGAAAGAAAATGTTTTGGAACTGATTGTGGTAGCAATTGTTCAATACTGCTTGATGTGATTGAACTGTGGAATGTTACGTTATCTGTAAGAGCTCCCAATAAAATAATTGAAAATCAAACAAACAAAAGATTACAGCCTAGGAAAGCCTATGGGACAGTTATACTCTGTCAATTAAGGTTGGAATAAGCTAATATTCACACTATAAGGATAACCCAGCTAGTTTTATGTTATTATTAAGGAGCCCTGGTGGTTAAGTATTCTATTCAAAATGGTCAGAGTTCAAACCCACCAGATACTCATGGGAGAAAGAGGTGGCCGTCTGTTTGTATAAAGATTATAGCTTTGGAAACTATTCTGTCCCACAGGATGGCTCTGAGTTGGAAGTGACTCAACACTAATGGGTATTATTTCACAGGTGAGACTCCTAAGGCTGCCTCCCATTAAATGTGTTCCCAGGATCTCCTGACATATACCGAACGAGCTGAGCTAGAATTCAAGCTCAAGTCTTCGGACTTCATATCCCGTGTGATCTGTACTCTACCATCCTGATTCTGAGTTCGAGGATTAGGAGTTCCAGGACACGTTGTGGCATTTGTTAGAGAACGAGGCACAGTGTTCTGAGACTCAGCTGATTCCCAGGCCACGCACTTAGAAAGGCAGCATAAAAATAGTGAAGAAATCATTGCTAGAGGAGAGGGGCTTAGAAACATTTCTTGGGGCATATAGTTTGTAAGACCCAGGTTTCTAAAGAATGTGCTTAGGGGGGGAAAGCATAAAATTTCTAAAATACATGTGTTCACAGCTCTTTGGATTTGTTCTTTAAGTAATTCCTCTTTATTATGAGTTTTACCTTCTAAATGCTTTCCTACATTTTCCCCAAATGCACGACAGTCGATAATAGCTTACACAGATATCTATTCTCCACACTTTTTGCACATATCGGATAATGGTCTTTACAAAAGTTAATTTTACTGGATTAGCAATCTGGACTGTGAGACACTCTACCACACCCAGAAGATCCCTCTGAGAATGAGTCAGTGTGAAATGATGTCCCTGTCATTGTGTTCTAGATCAGGTTCTAGACTAGCAAGAGTCCCTGGCTGATGACTTTTGTCTGCCATTCATTGACCCATCAGCAAAGCTAGAGCCAACTATTTAACTGCATTTCATGCCTGAAATGAAATAAGAAAGTGAGACAATGAATTGTAATCAATCTATTCCTCTTAATGCCTATACATTTTTTTGTGGGGGGTCTGGATATTCTAGTTGATCATGGGTATCCTAAATGTCCCGAATTACCTAGAAAATGACTTCAACTCTCACTTCGTTAATAACAGCTGTGTCTCCTTGTTAGTAACCAGAGAAGCTATTTGCTCTCTTAGAAACCAGAGCAGCCAGGGGCTCCCTACAAGGAGGGAGGTGGGGAGGTGTTTCCAAGCTGATTCCATGGATAACTCTACCTGTAGCACTAGATGGATCGAGAGTTTCTCTCCTCCCAGCCTTCGTGCTTTCATCCTTAAAATGTCTCCAGGGAGAGGAAGTCCTCTGTGTGTGTGTTCTTCTCCTTGCCTTACTCCCTCAGGTCCCTTTCTTAATGCCCTGACTCCCATGTCCCAGTCTCTACACTACCTACTAACACTGTTCTTATCGTCTTTCCTGGTCACATTTTCTTTACCACCCACATTTAGGTGTCTCTCTATCTCTGAATGAACTTATTTTCTGAACTATGTCATGGCCTGTGATGACGGTATATGTGGAATGGGCCAGAATGACTTCCAATCTTACCTGAATGGGGAGCACACGCAGAGTCACAGGGGACTCCTTATTAGCAAGGAGGGCTCTAAACCCAATCAGTAAATAGCTATTGTAAAGGAGAACTGTGTTTCAAAAGGTTTTTTAAGGAGACTGCCAACCTCTCTTCGGAAGTGACTTTGGTGGACTTCAACCTCCAGTCATTTTGTTACTAGCCAAGGCTTAACCATGCTAGAGGTCAACCATGAAATCCTGTGGCATTTCTTCCAGGGAGAAGACAAATCCTGAAAATACCTGCCCTGAAACACCAGGACAGCCTATATCAACAATAGCAAAATAACTCAGGAAGAAGGATGATAAAGCTTGCTGACTTTTGCTCTTTATGAGTTACTTTTTCCTAGCAGAGTAAACCCATCTCTCCAGGATGAAAAGCAGGCTCAGAAAGCTATAGACTTCCTGGTACCTGCAGAAACAGTGCCGCCATGATGGGGCCTAACCAGGAAGGCTGGATTAATGTTGAGACACTGTCCCTTACAGGAAAAGGACAGGCACTGATAGCTATAAATTCAAGACCATTCCCTTATGAGACACTAGCTGCCTGTGAGGAAATACTGGAGGAACTACACTGGATATTTATTTATGAGATGTCCAAAGCAATACCATTGGCATTAACTAGTCTATGAAGAAAGTTCTAATAAAACCATACTTGGTAAAAGTAATATCAAAATATGACAAAATAACTTTATATTACTTATTCGAGTGGTTTGGCCAAACGCAAACTATTCTGATTCTATTATGGTCAGAGACTTTGCTACCTATGATTTAAATTCTTTTAAATTTGTTGATCTTTGATTATGGCCAAGAATATGGTCTATTTTGGTGAGTGTGTAAGGTACATTTAAAAAAATATCTATTTTGCTGTGATAGGTGTAGTTTCTTATAAATGGTGATTCAATTCTGTTGGTTAATACTTGTTGGGTTATTTAACACGTTTGCTGATTTTCTGTCTGTTGTTTGTATGAATTGTAGAGTGTGGGGTATTATAGTTCCTGAATAGAGTTGAAGTTGGGCCTCAACATGAAAGCAAAGGTTTCCTAATATCAATAACTCAAGTGATCTGCACAAAAGTATCTGTCAATTCCTTGTAGCTTCTTTAGGACTATGCCAAATGGTGTAAGAAGATATGGAACTAGTTAAGATAATGTATATTTCCATTATGGATGTAATATATATGTGTAGGCTCAAATTGATATGCTGAAATATTTCCTTTTCAGAACTAATTTGTATGTGTTTGGTGAACTCATCTGAGTAGCCAGACTCTAGGCAACCATATGGAACAAAAATAATGACCCTATGGACAGTGGTCTATTCAGCACCCGTTCCTGCTGTAGAACAAGCTGATTCCTGGCAGACTCAGAAATTCCCTTTTTGGGTCATTTTTGTTTCTGTTGGTGCTGCCTTTTTCAGAACTGGGTGCGGTTGCTT